ATTTTTACATTTTTTTTGTCTTTAAAATATAAAAAATATATTTTTTAATCTTTTTATTTAGCGACGTAGTTAGGTAAAACTGAGGGGCCCAGGCTCCTCATAAAATATTGAATTTTTTTAAAAGTTTATTAATAAATTATAAAATTGAAGTATATATGATAATTATTATGTAAAAAAAGATAAATTTCAAGTTAATTGTTAATTATATCATAGTTTATCACTTAAACTCACTTGTTTTTACCATTCAAAATATAACATTATCCTTTTAATACCTTTCATAACAATGGATTTTTACGTTCTTCTAAAGTTATTAATTGTTGTAATTGTTAATTATTTTTGACTTTGGACTTTACATTATTGCTTATTTGATTTTTAATTTTTTTTAACTGTAATGACTAATTGATTATACTGTTTGATTTTTATTTTGTTGGGGAGAGAGGCTTTGCCCTCTTAATTAATTCTTACAGGTAGTGAAAAAGAATCATTATTAATTTTAAATTATTGTAAGTTTAGGCTAATCATCTGTTTATGCTAATCATCTTTTTGTCTTATTTTAAACCTATTATATGATTATTTGTCACCTTTCTCAACAAATATTTTAGCTTTGGGTTCAAGTTTTAAATTCATTCTTATATTTGTTAGTCCCGTACATTATAAATCTAAATTTGTAAACTTAATTTGTTTTGTTCTGTTTTATTTTAATTTAGAATTTAATTTATTTGCACAAATTATTTTGTTTTCTGGAAAGACTTTAGCCTTTGATTTATTTTAATCAATTTATGAAGCCTTTTTTTTTGGGTTTCTATTTACTATTTTTGTTTGTTATGATTGTTTTATTTTTTATTTTTTGAATTTTAAGATTTGAGTACCTTGTATATTAATTTGCAGGACGTAGATAATTATATTAGAAATAGTAAAGTTGATTTCATGTCTTTCTCTTTTATCATTTTTTTATTTGTGTTCATATTTTGTTATTCTTGTATTCTTATTTTTTCATTGTTTTTAGAGTATTTTTTATTTGTTATTTACAGATTATGTTAATATAAGAAATTATGAATGTTGAACAACCCATTTAGCTTGAAAGAAAAAATTTTATAATTTATAGTTGTGCCCCCTCTAGCCTGTAATCCTGACTATGCCACTGCTTCTACTATTAGTCAATTAATTCTCTATATATATATAGTAATGAATTTATAATATATGTATATTTAAAATTTAATAACTAAAAAAATATATATATTTAACAGACTAATTAATAGAATAAATTAAAAATTATATTTTTTTATAGTTTAAAGATAAAAAAGTAAAAAAAATAATTTAAAAATTAAAAATATTCAAAATTAGAAGTTAAATAACTTAAAAAAAACATTTAACACTTAAAAAGAAATAGAAACACACCCAATCCACAACTGAATTCAACAAACCTTGACCAGTGAAACCCAGTTGGCAAGAAGAAAGAAATCAGAAGGCAAAAGAAAGCAAGACGAATTATGAGAAAGGAAAAGAGTTGGACCTGCTGAAGTAAAACTCCGTATCGGGACTAATCAACTTTAGAATTCATCACCCAAAATCAGATACCAAACAAATAAGAAAAGTAAGAATTAGAGACTAGAAGGAGAATAAGAAAGAAGAAAGAAGAAGAAAGAGATGAGCAAGGAGAAACTGAGAATCAGAAGCAGAGAATCTTGTACATTCCATTGACTGAAAATACTAAGACACAGAGGGCAAAAATTTAGTTTTAACTTTTTACCTTATTAAATTTGTAAGTTTTAGTCCATCACTTTATACTATGATATTTTTAGTCTCTTACTTATTAGAATTGAAAAAAATAACCCTTATTTTATAATATTTCATTAGTTTTGTTAATTGATTATTAATTTTGTTAATTAATTGTTAATTTTATTAACTGAAAGTAAGTTTTTGTTAATTAACGATTAATTAACAGTCAATTAATAGAGTTAACAATCAATTAACAAAATAGTTTTATTAAATGATTATTAACTCTATTAACTAAAAGTAAGTTTTTACCAATTAATAGTCAAATAATAATTAGTTAATAAAGTTAACAGTCAACTAACAGAACTAATAAAATGTTTTAAGTGAAATTATTTTCTTTAATTCTAATAAATGATGGATTAAAAGTGTCATAATAAAACGTGAGAGATTAAAACTTAGAAATTAAAAAAAAGTAAATGGTTAAACTAAGATTTTACCGACAGAGTACCCTTTTATGCCGGAATTATGTACAACACCATAAGCTTAAAGTACAATATTGTTCTAATGCAGTAAGAGCATGTACAACAAGAATAATTAAAAAGTCTATTTTAATATTACATTATCACAATTAGTATTATTTTATATGCCACCACACATGCATGCACATTTTCGTTGAATGTGTCCTTAATATTTTGTATTAAAAGATAGTGCCCTCATCAATTACGTAATTGTCATAGGTTTTTGTCCTTATGTGAAGAATTTTCTTTTTATTATACTAATTAATTTGGAGAGAAGCAGCCGGCCTAAACAAAATGCAGAAATGTCTCCATCACGTGATTAGTTTTGTCCTACCTAGTTTTATCTTAACTAATTCATTTGATTTCTTTGGATACTTAACACCGTGTGTGTATATGTATATATATTATCTAATAATTCTATCTCAACTTTTAACCTATCACATCTGTATGTTATACGAGTTAAATTTAAAATTTTTTATTTAATATTATGTTATATAATAGAATAATAATTAATATACCTTTCATTTAATACATTTACAAATATTTATCAATTCAACTATTAAATTTTGCAAGTGAGCTTTTTCTCGTTTTAAATTTAAATTTAAAAATTATAATTTCTTAATAAATATATTATGAAATTCGTTAAATTAAAAAGTATATCAATTTTTGTCCTATACAATAAAAAATTTCAAATTTAAATTATATGACATATGAATAGAGTGAGTTAAAAAATAAAAAATACAAGAGCATTGTCTCTTATTATATAATTTAAAATTAAAATTAAAAAAAAAAAAAAACTATATATGACTTTCAAACATTTGAGTGAAGTTTTCACCTTCCATCATTAAGTAAACTTAAATCTAGAAATCATGAATTTGACTCATTCAACATGCTAGTGTTCGTCTCATTAAAAAAATTAAGAGTATTCATAATATTTAGAATGGAAGGGAATTAACTCTTGATTGTTTAACCCAAAATGTTGGAAAAATAAAATGGGCATTTGATTAATTTTCTTTAACACATCTAATGATAAATTATATGATAAAAAAATATACATAATTATTTTTTTTTTCAAACTCTTTTGCATTTATTATGATATTTTAATTTAAAATCTTTAATAAAAAAATTTAACTCTTAATTATTAAAATATTTGTTAAAATATATCTAGAGGATATATTAACACGTTTAATCAACCAAATTCCAAATTTGTAAGTATCAAATCATCAGCTTCCTTGTTAGATACCCCCACATATTAACTAATTAAATGGACCTCCATTATGTGTCGTTATCGAGTACCATAATAATAATAATAATAATAAAATTAACTTGATTGTGATAGGTTTTTTTATTAACTTTTTAATATTTGAAAGTTATATTAAATTTAATTAATACATAATCAAATTACATTAACTTTATAAAGTAAAATTCTTTTAATATTTATTTTTTTATTCTAACAATTATTTTTTTATTTATAATAATTAAAATTAAGATTTTATTTAAAGAGATTGAGTTCCCATATTTCACAAGCTAACAAATTATTGTGATAGACTTTTGCACTATTGCAAATCTAGGATATCAGTAACGAATACAGCAGCAACACGTAGACGTTAAGAATTCCAGCATTGTGATGTCAACGAATTGAAATTAAAAGTAGTTATTTTTGAATAAGGTAATGATATAGAAATGAGTTTTTTATATAAGTTTTATATATTATAAATAAATATTATAATATTACGGGGTCTTAATTGAATGAAAAAAAGTTAATTATTAAATAACATAATGTTTATCATTTAATACTTTAAATGATATGATTTATTATACATCATTAATCTCAAATTTTAATATCAAATTTTGGTTTTATTTATCATTATTCATTTAAAATATTTTTTAATTATTAAGTTACATAAAAAAATAAAATGTAATTTTAATTTTAATAATTAATTAATTAAATTAATGTAAGTGAGATTGATATTAAAATTAATGTCAATTTTTTATTTTTTCATATAATTTAATTGTTAAAAATATATTAATTATATCTTTCACATATACTTTAAGAACAAAAAATTTTAAAAAATCTTTATAATAAACAATAAATATTAACCATTAAATTAAAATTAGCTATAAATTATAAATGATTTTTTTGAACTGAAATTAAAATAAATTATAAATGATTTAAAACGACTAAAAGTGTATTTGATATTGCTGTAATTATAGTTGTGGTGGTAGTTATGTTAAACTGTATTATACTGTAATTATGGTTGAAAAATATTTTGATATTTGATTATTTATTTTTTAAAAATATTATTAATAAAAATAATATATTTTATTAATTATTAATTAAAATTTTAAAAATATTATAAGATATATAATTATTAAAA